TACTAATGAGACATGGAACCCCGTCCACGCTCCTAATGGTAGTGAGGTACGGGCCCTGCCCACTTTCATTCCGGTTCTAGTTTGGGCCTCACCCCTGTTCTGCTTCTAATGAGATATGGAACCCCATCCACACTCTGCTATTGGTGAGATACGGGACCTCGCCCACACTCACCTCCCTACTAGGCACATACATGTATCACACAGACAACAAGTATAAACTATCGTATAAACAAATCCTTGGGAACCCGCCCGCTATTACTGGACCTCATCCTGAATATCATACTAGCATACTGTACCTAGGGCTAACCCCCGGGTCTTCTATTCATAACTACATGGGCCGACATTGTGGCCTTAGACTCATTCACACAAAGGGAAACTCACCTGCACTGGCTGAACTTGCTGATGATCTCACTAGCTGCTGCCCGGATACTCACTGAACTCCTGTTCCCTTTGTTCACCGAACTACCAATATCAAAGCAATACTGAGTCTAACTGACCCCCGAAGGATAATCAAGTCAACCCTGGTCAAAGTCAACCTTCCAGGTCAACCCTACTCGCCGAGTCACCCTACTGACTCGCCGAGTTCAAAATGTTCAGATTCCTTCCATTCGCGTCTCGACTCACCGAGTCAGTCCATGACTCGCCGAGTCTACCGATTTCTGAGTCCTAACCTGTCCAACTCACTGAGTCTCCACCCGACTCACTGATTCGAGTCTCAACTCGAAGGTCTTGGGGTTTCGCAACCTAACTCGCCGAGTCCAAGAATAGACTCGCCGTGTACAAGGCAATCTTCATCCGACTCAACGAGTTGTTCATCCCACTCGTCGAGTTGCTCCACACCTTCATGCTACTCGCCGAGTCCACTCAAAGGACTCACCGAGTCCATTCAAATCCCTTTACATGTAGAGGACTTTTGATTCATGCATGGACTCCAAACTGTAGATCTACCCTTCCCAAGCCTATTCCTTACGTAAAGTTGCAAACTTTACGTGTAGAGAAGGAGATCTAGGCAAAATACACCATGAACTAGGGTTTATGACAACCATGCTCCACTAATATACCAAGAGTTGATACTTTTCAGGATTTTAGACCAAAATAAGCATGGATCTGAGGTAGCAACCTCAGATATGAACCCCTAGCTCGAATGGTTACTCTTAAGCCAAGAATGCCCAAAACACACACATAGATCTAGGTGCAAAGAGGGGAAAATAACAGCTTGTTACCTCCAAGATGAACACAACTAGAGTTGATCTTGGATCTACACCTCCTCCTATGAAGCAACCTTCTTTCTCTTCAAGTTCCTTTCCAAAGTTTCCTTCCTCCAAGCTATTTCTCTCAATTGATGGAAGCCCTCACGAAATCAAGGGTTTACAGGTTCTCTAGGGTGATATGGGGGCTGAGGGAGGGACATAACACTCTTTAAATAGGATACAACTACTGGCATTAAGGTTTTCCTCGTTCAGACCAGACTCGCCGAGTCACCTTGGACGACTCGCCGAGTCGGTCGCTTACTCCTCGACCCGGATCCCTTTCGGACTCGCCGAGTCCCTCCTTGGACTCGCCGAGTCTCCCCTTAAAATTGGGGTTTTCTTTCTTTTCTTGGCTTTCCAAACTTTGGGTGTTACATCGGCAAGTCTGGGAGATGACTCGGCGAGTCGGGATAAGAATCAGACTTAAGTCGCATAGTAACTCATCGAGTCACATGGGTAGACTCGACGAGTTGTATGAAGTTGGGCAAGAACTCGACGAGTTGGAAGAACAAATCGACGAGTCTTTTGAAGATTGCTTTAGACTCGACGACTTTGTTCTTGGACTCGGTGAGTCTGGTCGTGAGGTCCTAACCTTTTCTGGTTGAGCTGTGAATCGGTGAGTCGAGGGATGACTCGGTGAGTTGAGCAGGAAGGGACTCAGAGCTTGTTGGACTCGACGAGTCTTGGGGCAACTTGGCGAGTTGAGTCGTGGCATGTGAGTTCCTGAACATAGGAACTCAATGAGTCAACGGGTTGACTAGGCGAGTTGGGTCAACCAGGAAGGTTGACTTTAACGAAAGACTTTGACTTGGACCAAGGGTTGACCAGTTTGACTTCCAAGGGTATTTTGGTAATTATTGGTGTTTATTGGTTTTGGTTATTTGGCGATGATCAGTGGTGGAGTTCGTGCTGGTGGTCGGAGCAACGTGGTCTTATTTCTTCAAGTCGGCAGTTGCAGGTGAGTTATCCTCAATATATCGACAGGGTCTAAGGCACCAAGGTCGGCCCTTTACCGGTTTGAAATCCGAGTATCTTTTTGATATGTTATTGTTTGATATGTTTATATCCTGGTTTGTGTGTGTGTGTGTGTATATATATATATATATATATATATATATATATATATATATATATATGATGCTATGTTAGAGACCTGGTTAAGGTCGGTATCCTAGTATATAGAATGATATTATGTTAGTGACCGGTTAGGTCGGTATCCTGGTTAGGATGTTGCTATGATATGTGATATGCTAGATCGGTTTGATTAGATGTGAATTGTTATATGATTATATGTTTATGTGTGCATGGTTGTTTGGACTGAGGTTGGGTTGAGGCGGGTCCTGCTTTGTGTTGTAGGTCAACATACCCACGGCGGACCGGTTAGACCGAAGGCCCGACGAGCGGTCCGGATAGGCTGAAGGCTCCAAGAGGGCGGACCAGACGTGCCGAGGCTCAGAGAGTGGACCAGATATACTGAAGGCCCGGTGCGGGCGAACCAGTCATACTGTAGACTCAAAGAGTGGACCAGGTGGACTGAAGGCCTGGTGCAGGCGGACCAGTCACACTATAGACTCGATATGCATTGTTGTTCTATTTATGATATGCTATGATATGTGTATGGTATTGTGGTTGGTATTTTGGGGGTAACTCACTAAGATTTCGGGCTTACGGTTTCAATGTATTGTTTCAGGTACTTCTGGAGATCGTGGCAAGGCAAAGACGTGATTGTAGCGCTCCTCAGGTTTTATGACTTATGTGATATGGTTCTAGGAAATACTCTAATGTCTAAACTATTTTGAATACAAATGTATGAACTTAATGGTTTTAAATGAATTAAAATGTTTTAATTTGGCTCGAATTTTATGGTCGTTACGCATGATATATATATATATATATATATATATATATATATATATATATATATATATATATATATATATATATATATATATATATGAATTTGACACATGGATAATCGTCAATCACATAATTTAAGATTATGTTTTAACGATATAGACTTGTGACGAGTACATCTAACTACTAAATTAAACACATCAATTCCATTCAATACTTGGCCAGGTATTCATGATGTCAACACTAAATCATCAAGGGCATATAGATATCACTTCTCCTGTGAAGACAGAACAAATAAAATTTGACTATAGTTTCTGTCTATTTCATCATAGCATACATGGATATACTTGATATTGCTACCAGTTACAGATAGTGTTAAAGTACACTAATATATAGCAGAATCATAAAGCAAAACCCCACATGTATCTCGGTTTAAAGAACATAAAATATTATCATCTTAGAATTACTCGTGACTATATCTATAAAGTAATCTCTATCTATACTTAAATCTGCATTAAGTACTTGTAGTTCGTATGAATTGAGTGTAATAATGAAATCAGAGTATGAATTGAATCAGGAACACAAAAGTAAATACAATATGTTTGGCTCTTTATTACTTCTAAAAGAGTACACGATAAGAAAGAGTAAAGTGTTCTTACATATCACAAAAGTTACTCTAACACATACACTTACCCCTGTTTATAGGAGTTACCAGAAGCACAAAAAATAAATAAGGGCTAACTTCGAACTCTAAAATGCCCTTATGAAATACATATAATGAATACATGAAAACAAACTTAGACACTAAACATGACAAAAGATGCTTCAACGTCTCACAACACATTTCGAACTCAACATTATCCCCTTTTGTGTGAAGTGACGAATCTTAGGTCATTAGCATCTTCGTTGCTTGATGAAGTACTCTTCAAATCTTCATGTACCATATGATCATCCTTCAATCTCAGCCTTATCACTAGTTGTATTCCTTTTGCAGTTATTAAGGCGAAAAGTAGACTCGTGTACTGTGTATTAATATATCTCTCCACATCTTCAACTTTGAACAAAAACTTTGTATTTTTTTTATTCTTGTTCTTCCCAACAAATACAACTCCCAGCTACTTAACATAAATCTCTCCATCTTCAAAATCCTTCAAACTTCCTTGACCTTTCAACAATGATTGATGCACTGTCACTTGTCTTCCCAATTGCTAAAGCAAGTTCCACATTAGTCAATGCTAGACAATCATAGTAATTGTCTGTGAAGAGTTTGATATGAGCAAAACCTATCAAGAAATCTTCTTCGCTATTAACTTGAAGTTTTTACACATCAACACTACTCAAAATCTTCGCAACACGTATAAGATCATTAAGATTCATCAGAGGAAAATTTGTCACTGAGAAGTCACATGCAACATTGTTAGCTCGAATCACATGATAACGGAAGTTCTGTAACAACCCTTCGAACAAATTATCCTTGGAAACACTCAAAAATTTAACAATCTTTACCAAGGACTATCTTTCATCTTCATTCTTTCATGAGGAAACAATCTATTCAATTGTCTCATAACAATATCGTTTGGTTGGATCTCATTTCTTAAGACCCGGTGAATCACCTTGCCTTTGTCTTAAGATTTTGTTAATATGTCTTTGTCTTTCTATTTCTTTCTCAACATTCTTCTTTTTATCTCCCTCTGATGTCTCCTTCACAATACTTTTCCCTCTATCACCTTTAACTTGATTCGAAGATGGTGGCTTTGAACTCGAACCCTCATTAGTAGAACCAATGACTATGCTTTTGGTTAATGGATTCAAAGGCATTATGGTTGAGGTTGTAGACATTGAAACATGAATAAATGTCAATATTTGCGTTGATATCACCTTCTCCACAAACTTTCCTTAAGAAAGATCCTTCGATGAGCCAACCCCCTTTTCTCCCCCTTGCACCCTTGTTTTAACATGTGGGGCATTTGTTGGCATCAGATTCACAATCTTTAGAAGATGAGCAAGTTCAGATTTCATATTGGACTCTAAAGAAGAAAATATTTTTGATAAAGACTCTTGAGAAATAGAAGATTTGGGAGAAGAATCAAGCTTAGAAATTGACTCCTTTAATCTTGCTAGAAATTTGTCCGTCTTTGTAAGCACTTGCAAATCCTTGTTTGAGAATGAAGTGAAATTTTCAACAAGTTTCCAGATAGCTTCAATAACAACATCAAGTTTCCTATGAAGAGACAAATAACTTTGTTCAAGTTTAATCACCTCCTTTGACATTTAAAACTTGAGGGACTCTACCTTCAGATTTACAGATTCTTGAATGTTCTTGTCCTCTTTAACAAAAATAATATACCTTTCTTTTGCTACATAATGAAGCTTCTTGATTTCATACTCAAAATTGTTGGCATGAAGCTTCAAAAGATCTTCTTGTTGTCTTTCCATATTCGTCATGACCAACCTTAACCGATGGTCTTGTGATTTAAGCATCATATCCACCTCTATCCTAAAAACAGTGTTTCGACAACCAGTATCAACTTAAATCTTTAATATCAAATTCAACTTGTGATTTAAAATCTTGAACTGCTTTCCTGACATAGGCATATGATCAGGAATGTTGTCCTCCTTAGGGTCAAACTCGATATCAACAAAAGATACCATCACATCATCTTCACCAGGATTTTCTTCAAGAACTGACTTTTCACTCACAGTTAATTGAGAAGAGAAAAGCGAAGTAGTGGGTTGAATCATGATATTGTTATAAGTAGGTAATATGGTTGAAGCAGGCAACGAAGTGGGAGTGAGTGTATGAAATGGAGGTAATGAAGTAGAAGTGTCGATGAGCGTAGTTTCAATTGTGGGTAATAAGACAAGAGAAATTAGAACATATGAAGTTGCAACAGAAGGGTTACCTTGAGCTTCAAAAGTTGACATCCCATCACCTTTGTTAACATTTGTGTCCATATCAGATATCTTCACAGGGATGCCTGAAGTTTGAACCTCCTTCAAAACGTATTCAAGCATTCAGCCATCCAAACTTCAGGTGGTATAATTATGGTCGGCTCAAGGATGGAAATATTTAAAGTAACACCTTAAGTAGTGGTTGTGTATGTAGTAGACACTTTCACAAAGCCACCTTGACTTCCAGTCGACTTGACAGGAGAGTCCCTCTGAGGTGATGCGATGCCAATATCTTCATTTTGAATAAGATATTGATCACTACCATCTTCAAAATCAGTCTCATGAATAACCTCATCCAGAGGATCTTCCAACTGGTTATTCTTCTTCTTGATCTTCTTTACCATATCATGAGCTCTTCGTTTCTTTGAAGCAGGTGAAACAGTAGCAGGAATATCTCTAATGATAACCCTACTTCGATTTAGCTGAGGTTTTCTGATTTTCTTAGTTTTGAAATAGAACCATCATTTGCTGAAGAAAGAGGTTCCTCAGAAACTTCGTCAACTATGGGTCTTTCTGGTGAGTGATGAGGTATGTGTGTTGGCTTCTTAGTAAATTTAAGAACTACTATTTTTGAAGGTACCACTTCCTTTCCAGGACCTTTATCAGGTTTGGAAATAGGATCTTGAACATTCTTCGTAACCTCCTTCTCAACTGCCTCAGGAACTGAGTTAGGTTTTGCAACCTTCATAGATTTCTTTGAACCTTTACCACGTTTTGAAGTAGATTCAATGCCTTTGGGAAAAAGAACCCCTATTTACATGGATCCCCCGTTTGAAGCATGGCATCAGGAATTCATGCTACTAAAGGAAAAACCTCTAAATCGTCTTCAACAGTTTTTAGATGTTGATAGAGTGTGAACTCTGCCTTTGGAACATCAGGTGGAACATATATTTCTTCTTTCTCATACACCTCTAGTAGAATCAAGCTCAAATATCTAGCATAAGAAACAACATTCGCAACATTGGTGTGTGAGATAACAGTTCTGAATTCATCCTAGAAATGTGAAACATAATCCACATTTAAATCATAGTATAACCCAACTATCAAGGCATATATCTCAAATTTGTCTTTGTCAAGACCAACCGTTCGACCTGTGAGACAATGAAGAAAAATCCAAATAGAAGTTTCAGATACATGGTAATGAAGACTTCTTGAACTGATTGATTCCAGTGAGTGGGGGTTGATGACCCATCTCATCGAACATATGGATCACTTGGTCATTTGTTACTTCATAAAACGAACCAGTGTTTGGAAGTTTCATGATATGTGCAAATTGTTTCTTCCTGAGCTTGTACGTCTTTTCGTTTGTAAGTTGAAACATCATGACCTTGGAGTTTTTATTGAACACAACAGTAGAATCGACCAAAGACAACTAAGTCATGGGCACTGAAAAGGAATAAGTCATGACTGTTGAGAGTACCAAGTGATTAAGAGAAATGATTGGCATTTGTAACTCTTTTGGGTCCTTGGAAACGTCTAACACTCGGCTTTGAATTACTTTATTGTTCGGGGCCGTGACCAATCATAAGTTATCATAAGGCTTAGGGCATTTGGGAAGAAAGGTTTATACCTATTTGGATGTGAGTGGCGTTGGTTATGTGATGAAAGGGTTCATTTTGTACTTTAGAGCCCAATGGTATCGATAAAGGAATTGGTTTGGGCCTTTTATGAATTTTGGATTTTAGTTTGGTTGGTTTTTAGGCTAAATAAAGTTGATAGAAGTGTGGGGATTCTCGTTACCTCGTCAAAACTAGAGTTATAATGAAGAAGTTATGACCGTTTGAAGTTTGAGTCGTTTTGGGCCAAGCTAAGTACATTGGGCGTATAAGAAGGTGTACGCCCTGGGTGTACTTAGGGAATCCTGAGTACGCTGGGCATACCAGGAGTACGCTGGGCGTACGCAATCAGTGCCCAAAACTTATTTTCGTGGTTTGAACCCTATTTAAAGCTTATTAACTCCCTCAAACCCACTCCATTCTCAGCCTCCACCCCTCTAACACCCCTTCCATGATACCCTAACCCTATATGAGCCTTGTGTGATAAAAGAAGGTGTTTTGAATGTTTTGGAGTGTGCATGGTGCACCTTGTAGAAAAAGGAACTTCTTGGAGAAGTGTTGGTTGCATTGGAGCTTGTAGACGTGGACTTTATTCACCTTGATCTATCTTCTAGAGGTATAAAGTTTAAATCTCGATGATGTATTTGTTAGATATAACTATTTTTGGATGATTATGCGCTTTTGGTCATTTTAGTGCATAAAGTTTAGATCTTAGAAGTTTGGGACCTTGTTATGGATAAAGTTGGAAACTTTATCCATCTAAACATCATTTTGATTTAGATCTGAAAGTTGGAGACTTGTACTTAATGGATTAAGTTGAAAAAGATGACCTTTTGGGCCCCTTTGAGACTTAAAGACTAGATATTGCTTGTTGGGACCATTCTAGTGGATAAAGTTGGAAACTTTACCCACTATAAAGCTATTATGAACTATAAAAATGTGAACTTGGCCATTCTATCCCTTCCATGCAAGAGTTGTGATGTATTGTTGGGTTAAGAGCTTAGGGTTTTGGACATTAAGCACTTTATAACCATGAAAACTCATAAAGTTGGAAACTTTATGACTTAGAACATCATTATGGGCTTGGATATGAGTTATGGATGTAAGAACTTAATAAAATAAGCTCTTAATGGAGTTTAGGACTTGTGAGGGTATGTCCGTGTACCTCCCGTGTACCCCCCGCATACGCACCCTGAGTCGACTCGATCGAGTTGACTCGATCGGGTTGACTTGGTTGGGTTAACTCAGTTGACCTAGTTGCTTTGACCACTTGACTCTGATAAGTTTGACCTTGAGGGTATTTTGGGATCTTGCTTTGATTGGTCACTTGGAGGAATATGTGTCCGTTGGAGCTGAGATTCGGAGTCGAGACCTCATCAACTTCTGTTCAGTTTGTGAGGTGAATTTTCCTTGCTATACTTAGGGGATCGAAGGCACCAAGGCCGACCCATTGGATTGATATCCTAATAGTTATTGATATGTTGATTACGAGTTGATATGCATGCTAATTTGATATGCTAGTCTGGTAGATCTGTAGGACGACCTGTGATACCGTCTGATTATCTTTATATGTATTTACCTAGTTACATGTCGACATGTCGTGTGGGTTGGGTTGAGGTTGTACTACTCGATGTTGTAGCCAACAAACCTTGTAGTATGCCAGATATGAGCTGAGGGCCAAGGAGGGCATGCCAAACTCATATTGAGGATTCATACGCATTATGGATACGAGCTGAAGGTTGGGCAGAGCATGCCAAACTTGTACTGAGGGCTAATCTTTTGTATTCCAGTCCAAGGACTGAGGGAGCAAGCCAGACATAAGTTGTAGGCCCAGGAGGCAAGACAGACTTATGTTGTAGGCTCGGGAGCAAGCCAAACATAAGCTTTGGGCCCAGTAGGCAAGCCAGACTTATGATGTAGGCTCGGGAGCAAGCCAGACATAAGTTGTGGCCCTATAGGCAAGCTAGACTCATGTTGTGGGATTAGGGGTAATCCAGTATGTAAAGTTGAGGACCCATTACATGTTGTTATTATGTGTAATGTTTGTTATGTGTCAGTATTTTGGGGAAATTCACCAAGCTTTGTGCTTAGGCTTTCAGTTTATTGTTCAGGTGCTTTAGATGCTTTTGGCAAGGCGAAGGCGTGACTGTACACATCCTTGGGTTTACAACTAATTGGATATTGGGATACTCTTATTTTAAATCATGTTTTGGAAACAATGGTTTTTGTAAGCACTTTTATTAGTAAAAGGGTTGTTTTGAAAAGTTTAAATTTGTTGAAATTTTTGGGATGTTACAAAATGTCTAGTTGAACTCTATAATTTGAACTCTAGATCTTCAACAGGGGTTGAGATGTGGCTTCATTAGTAGTTTGGGACGGATCAGCATGAGCAGTTGGGATTGAATATTTTAGCCTAATATTTTTTAAATTATGGGGCATGTGGTTGTATCCATGAGTAGTTGGGATTGAATATTTTAGCCTAATATTGTTTAAATTAACCGATGCATGCCCCCTTCCTCGCCACTTGTCTGATGCGAACCTCCCCCCCTCCCTTCGGATCCGAGGCTTTGGCCATATAAATACCTGCGATATTCTGTTGTTTTCACTTCATTTTTACACCACTTTTCACACTTTTACACTTCTTTCACCTCTCTAAACTTCCCTACAACCCCCCCCCCCCCCAAAGCCCCAATATCATATCTAAACCCCGAAGCAAGCCTCGGAGCCCCGAGATTCCCGAGAAAAACAACTTTCTCCAATCGAGACTCTGCTTGTGTAAAGCCCAGTTTCTCATCAAGTAAACTCCTTCCCAGAAACGAAACACTATCCAAATCACCACATATCAAGTGAGTTCATACCCCCCGTATTTTCATACTTTTTATAATTTTATTGGGGGGGGGGGGTGGTGGTGGAATACAAGTTTAACACAATGATTTTTGTGTTACAAACAAATGGTTTCAAATTGTGATAAAATGACATCAAGTCATCAAAAGTATTTCAAAAATATTAAACTCTTTTATAAACTTATGTTTTTCCCCAAATATCACACACACACACACACACACACACACACATATATATATATATATATATATATATATATATAAGAATTAAAAGGCTTAGGACTGATAACTCACTTTATTTCATTTTCTTTGCTTGGATGTGGATTTAGAGTATCGATTGTTTGTTCAACTGTCGTTTCAATTTTATTATATATATATATATATATATATA